AAAGTAGAGGTGAAAGAAGTCAGCACTCATTAAAGTTTTTCCTTTTTTCAAAGCCACGTTTGGCTTTTAATCATTTGTAACGTTTTGCATTATTGGAATTAGTTGACGGATCAATAATAAAATGATGACAGAAATCAACAATTAATTACTTAAGGTCTGGCTTTTAGAAACAGAAAAAAAAATAGAGAATTGTAACATTTATTGTGTAACCCCAAAATGGTTTTAGCACAGTAGCATGTTCAAGAAGGTCAGAAAAGAAAGAAGTCCATCAAGTTTAAAGTGTAACTGTCATATTTCCACACAAGGCAAAGCAAAAGGATTATTTTTTTTTCTATAGCAAAGAGGTTTTTTTTTAAGTTGTGGTTGAAGAATGGAATGGTTTTAAAGTGTATCTAAACCCCAAAACAAAAATGTAATAAATTGCAATTTACTAGTCCTTAGATATGGTGGCTGCATTCGTTTTTTCCTTTATTGTCACCTCTTAATTCTGCAGATTACTTTCATCCCCAGGGAATTGGCACCTAAAGTGCAACTCCACTTTTCTTGGGAAAAAACAGCCCCTTCTGGGTCATGGCTGGACCTAGAGGTGCACCTCCCCAGTCAACCAGTCAACTCCCCCCCCCCCCCCCCCCCCACCCTCAACATGGTTGTTGTACCCAGGAGAAGCTGCCCATAAACATAGGGGAGGACTGGCTACATCTGTGAAGGCTGAAGCTCCGTTCACACATAGACGTTTCAAATCACTGGGGGGAATCGCCACGATTCTGCCCATGATTTGAAAACGCACTGTGTGAATGTGAAAATGCATTCACTTCAATGGCACCAGAAAACGTGGGCCATTTTTGCCACAATTGTGGTGCATTTTTCTGTGCGACAAACTATTTGCAATCGTCCTCTGCCCTTGCTGATCCCCTGTACACTGCCATGACTCCTGTACGCTCCCTTGTTGACCTCCAATCCTCTGCCCACTTTACATTTTTACTGCCCCTCCTATCAGACCAGCTAGATCTGGCCCTGTTCTGGGTAGTCCATATACATTGCATCGATTTTAGAAAACCTTGTAATAGATTCGTACCATTTTTCTCTTGTTTTCAAGACTGATTCATGAATGGGAAGGGCTGGTTCATTACAACCTTGTGCACTTTCAGTGTTCTTATGAGATATGTGTATGCATTAATATATAAGTATTTAACCCTTAGGGACTCTTCCACAAAAATGAAATTCCTATTGCAGAGGAAGCCTAAATTTTACCTGTATTTTATTCTACGTTTTTCAAGCTAGACTGCTCTCACCAGACCTAGATTACAAACAAGCCTTTCTCTCTTCATCTCCATTACATGGGGGCAAGATAATTTGTAGTTAGCTTAAATCTAAAATTCCCCCATCCTTTTCCTACCAAGCTGAGAATCCATATCTAGTGCCTCGCCTCCATTTTTTTCTGTATCTGCAGAGAAGCAGTGTTGTCAACCTAGGGCAAGACATGTTTTGGAACTACGGTCATCGTACCCTCTCCTCTTTTCTAGGTATATTATGTCCTAACACACTTTTTGATAACATTTGAAGCACTACCCCCTCAGAGGCCACTGAGTAATTTTTGTGTTCCCTGTCTCTCCTGACCCCACTCTGGAAGCCCAACCCCTGCTGACACCACCTTAGGCCTCCAGTTAGAACTCTCTGGCTGCAACCACAAAATAGACTCACAGACAGTTTAGAGTGAACTGATATCTTGATTGTATTGAAGTCAAATGTAGGCACAGTAATAGAACAGAAAAGTATATGCATGAAATAACAACTGTTACTCTTAGTAACTTTAAGTAAAAGACACAACACAGCACAATCTCAATCGGTTTTAGATGTCCTGATATTCAGAATTTAAACGACAGCCCAGTCCTGAGATGTTATTTCCTCAATGAGCTACTAAAAAAACCCTAACAAGTAGAAAGGTTCACTCGATTTTGGCTCTAAGTAATGAATGGCTAAGTTTATTTCTGAAGAAAGAAGAGCTCTTCAATTAGGCCAATATCCCTTTTTAAACTGCAATATCTGATCTTCTGCATGCTCGATAGGGCCCTAGTTTGTGCACATGAAGATGTAAATCTTCCTTGAGGCAAAGGTAGAAATTCCAAATGTAGAATGGACACCAGGGAATGGAACTGCCCATCTAAGTGATATTGAATTTTGAATAGTACCCCCTTAGCACACATGAAGTAAGATGTAAAATTAGGTGAAGATTAAAGATTCAAAGGCTAACAAAATGAGCTGCTCTAGGGAGAAGTCCTTCTTCGGATCTCAGTGGCAAACTAGTTTAGGGAGTTCCTTGGTGAATGGAGCAGGTTGCAATGGAAGCAAGATGTTGCAGTAGATTATCGATCTAGTATGCAGCCAGCTGATAGTTACTGCATCGCAATAGACCTTGAGCGCCATGTCATCTACGTGTTACGTCTCCTGATGAAGCCATGTGAACCTGTGGCATAACACATAGGGAAGGGGCTTGATGACACAACGCTCGAAGTCTATTGCGATGCACTAACTATCAGCTGGCTGCATACGATTTAGTTTGATGTAAATCTCTGACTCATTTACTGTACAAAATAGCGTGGTGTGCTTAGACACCTTTTTAATGCGAGTGTATATATTGGAAGTTGTTTTTTAAGGCTTATAAACTTTTTAAAAGGATAAGCACTATGTTTTGCTGATTTCTCCCTATGCATGTATGGCTGAGGAGGATCATTAGGAGAAGGTGTAGAGGTGAAATCTATAAGAAGTGAGCATTCATCTGATCCAACTTGGAATACACACACTATTCCTATATGAGGGACACAAGCGCTATATGACCTGACTTGGTGGTGGTGGCAATGATTTGGTCATATGATCCGTGTGAGAGCACTTCTGGTGGAGGGTGTTCGCAACCATATTGGAAGTATTTGTTTGGCACAAAGTGGTGATGAAAGAACCAATATTATTATATTGAAGTTCACCTATATTTGAAGAAGGCAACAAGTTGGCGTAGGACTGTTTCCAGATTGAATTCAATATTGATGTTCATTCACTGTTTACATTTATGATATGTAAACAGTAAATTAACATGATATGTAAATAGTGAATGACCCGAACAACCTCAGACCCATCTCCCTGCTCCCATTCACATCCAAACTCCTCGAGTGCTTAGTCTACACTCGCCTAAGCTCTCACCTCAACGACAACAACCTCCTCGATCCCCTACAGTCTGGCTTCCATCCCCTACATTCCACCGAAACCGCCTTACTCAAACTCTCCAACAACCTTCTAACCGCCAAAGCTAATGGCCACTACTCAGTGCTCCTACTCCTTGACCTCTCTGCAGCCTTCGACACAGTCGACCACCCCCCTCCTCCTCAAAAAAACGACACTCCCTCGGCCTCCGAGACTCCGCTCTCTCCTGGCTCTCATCTACCTGTCACAATGCTCTTTCAGCGTTGCCTATAACACTACCACCTCCCCCTCACTCCCACTCTCTGTTGGGGTCCCTCAAGGCTCCGTCCTCGGGCCCCTTCTCTTCTCCAACTACACCTCCTCTGTTGGCCAACTCATACACTCTCACGGCTTCAACTATCACCTCTATGCCGACGACACACAAATCTATCTCTCAACCCCTCGTCTCACCCCCTCAGTCTCCGCCCGAATCACAAACCTACTAAACGACATGTCAGACTGGATGTCACTCCACTTCCTTAAACTGAACCTCTCCAAAACCGAGCTCCTAGTCTTCCCCCCAGCCCACACACCACCCCCCATTGACTTCTCCATCACGTCCAACAATGCCACTATCAGGCCCGCCCCGCAGGCCAGAGTACTTGGTGTCATTCTGGACTCCAACCTATCCTTCCAGCCCCAAGTCCAATCATTAACAAACTCATGCAGACTCCACCTCCGCAACATTGCCAAAATCCGCATGTTCCTAATCCCAGAAACCACTAAACCGCTTATCCACTCCCTCATCATATCACGACTCGATTACTGCAACTCCCTCCTCACTGGCCTGCCTCGCCGCTGGCTATCCCTGCTTCAGTCGATCCTGAATATGGCTGCCAGACTCACTCACCTTTCCAACCACTCCGTTTCCGCCACCCCCCTTTGCCAATCCCTCCACTGGCTTCCAATTGCACAACGGATCAAATTCAAAATCCTAAAACTGACGTACAAAGCTGTCCACCATACTGCCCCAAACTACATCACCAACCTAATATTCAAGTACTACCCAGCAAGCACACTCCGCTCCTCACAATACCTCCTCTCTAGTTCCCTGGTCTCCTCCTTTTCATGCCCGCCTCCAGGATTTCTCCAGGGTGTCACCCATCCTCTGGAACTCCCTGCCCCAACCCATCAGACTATCACCTACTCTCCTCTCCTTCAGGCGCATGCTGAAAACCCACCTCTTCAGGGAAGCCTACCCCACCCCCTGCTAATTCCCAACCTCCTCCACTCCTCCTACCACTCCATCCCCCACAACTATCTCATCCTGTACCACTCTTCCCTCCCTCCTAGATTGTAAGCTCGAAAGAGCAGGGGCCTCGAACCCCTTGTGTATCGCATTGTATTGTATTGTTGTTGTACTGTCGCATGTTCTGTCTCCCTTTACAATGTACAGCGCTGAGCGAACTGTTGGCGCTTTATAAATACTGTATAGTAATAATAATGATATTGGTGATTATAGATATGTAATATTATTACATTTAGGTTATTGTGTAAAGTATGGATTCATTTTAGTGGAGCATGGCACTTTTTTGGATATATACTCAAAACACCCAATTCCAGTGGAACAGAATCTTTAAACCATTTTTGTTCTGCTGCCTCTTTAAAAATATGAGAAAAAACGGAAAAGACATACATGTATACAGTATATGCACCCAAAGTGAGAAAAAAAATCATAATGTGCAACAATAAAGTCCACTATGTAATCCATCCACCAAGATGTGCATAAATAAGACAATGTGTAAGGGACCACCCGGCGGTACCACTAGTACCACTAGCACTCCACTGAATAGACGTCCCCAGCGCACGGAATCTAAGTCCCAGAGTGCTTGTTCACCAGGGCCCCTGATGGTGGGGATGGACTTGGAGCACCCCGAGACCAGGTCGTGGCTACTGGGTACGTCCGTCAGTGGTAGTGGTATGCGCCGAGGGCTCCCACGGGAAAGAGTCTGATATGAGGAGGTCTGAAGACCCCACTGCGAGGGATGGATGGATGGATGGATGAGCAGGGTCAGACAGGCCGGGTCGGTAACAGAGAGGACGGTAAGGTACAAGGCAGCGGGCAGAGAATAGTCGGGTCACACGCCAGCTCAGCAACAGCAGGTCAAATCCAATAGGGAGCATCCAGGAGAGAGGTCAGGCAAAGCAAGGGTCAGGACAGGAGAATATAACAAGGTCAGGTACAATCCGGGTCAAAAACTTACAGGGCACAGGTTCGCAGGATACAGGATGCAGGTAAGACCAGAAGGCACTGAATGACAGCTCAGGGCCATTTAAATATCCCGCCCTGCACTGCCATTGGTGCCCAGCGGCTTCTACTGCGCATGCGCGAACTCGAACGCCGCGGCCGGCCCGGACCTAGTGCCCGTGTCCCTGCACAGGGAGGCGCACTGCGCCTGCGCCGGGACCATCGCTGCGAGGATCGTGGAGATCCCTGACACAATGAGACTCCATGTGATCCCCAAAGTGAGTTCCACAGCACTGTCACACACACCTCTTGCTAAGAATTAAGGCTCTCCACCAAGTTATAGATAGATCCAAACTCTCTTACAGGCAACAGAGAAATGCCTCCACAATCATCTCGCAACGACTGGGAAAGACTCAGGGCACAACCGTGGACACTACATCCAGTAAGGTGAATCCATGCTCAAATTCTCATGTATCCGGAAAAGAAACGGGTAACAGATCTCATAGTGCAAAACTGCCAGGTATATTGAAGAATATACAAAATGGCCACTCAAGATCAGAACAAATGCATATATCGACACATTGCTGCCACTACACCTGCTAGCGTGATGATGTCAGTGCAAGCTCTGCCCAATGTGTTTCGTTGCATAGGATGTTCTCAAGGGACCATTACTCTCTGTAATTGACCTGATCACCAATGTCAGTGGGAATGAAAGTGAAGGCAAATCCAAGTTTTTGAGTTGACTCCAGAACATGAATAGAGGGGAGACCTTCCAATAGGGAAACGTGTTCCTGTGATAACTGTCTAAGAGGGGATAGGCCTCATATTGGAAAAATATCTTCTCATTTCCAGTTGAGTCTACAGCACACTGTGGTTGATTTACTAAAGGCAAATAGACTGTGCACTTTGCAAGAGCAGTTGCTCCAGAGCTTAGAACATTAGCAGAAACTCTGGTGACTTCCATCATCAATCATGTGCAAGCAAACATGCTGTTTTTTTTTGTTTTTTTTCCTTGCATGAGATTGATTCTTTGCAAAGTGAAGTTTTACCTCGTTTACTAAACTCTGGAGCAACAGCACTTGCAGAGTGCAACTGCACTGTGCAAAGTGCACAGTTTATTTGCCTTTAGTAAATCTTATCCCAGTGTGAAGGTAATCGCCTCCCTCAAATCATTCCAGGCCACATACCCTCAACATTAGGATAGTACTTCCATGGCCAGACACCTTGTAGCCTCATCCCCATATCCCTCAATGGTTCATGTGGGAGTTGAGGGGGGAGGAGATTGATGAGTTATTGGAATTGTGAAGCTCTCAATAAAGGAAGGGCTCCTAGATACACTATATTGACAAAAGTATTGGGACACCCCTCCAAATCATTGAATTCAGGTGTTCACTTTCATGGCCACAGGTGTATAAAATCAAGCACCTAGGCATGCAGACTGCTTCTACAAACATTTGAGAAAGAATGGGTCGCTCTCAGGAGCTCAGTGAATTCAAGCGTGGTACCGTGATAGGTTGCCACCTGAGCAATAAGTCCATCTGTGAAACTTCCTTGCTACTAAATATTCCACGGTCAACTGTTAGTGGTATTATAACAAAGTGGAAGCAACTAGCAACAACAGCAACCCAGTCACAAAGTGGTAGGCCACGTAAAATTGCAGAGCAGGGTCAGCGCATGCTGAAACTCACAGTGCGCAGAAGTCGCCAACTGTCTGCAGAGTCAATAGCTAAAGACCTCCAAACTTTGTGTGGCCCTCAGATTAGCACAACAATAGTGCATAGAGAGCTTCATGGAATGTGTTTCCATGGCCGAGCAGCTGCATCCAAGCCTTACATCACCTAGTGCAATGCAAAAAGTCAGATACAGTGGTGCAAAGCATGCAGCCATTGGACTCTAGAGCAATGGAGACTTGTTCATTGGAGTGACAAGTTATGCTTCTCTGTCTAGCAATCTGCTGGACGTGTCTGGGTTTGGCAGTTGCCAGGAGAACGGTACTTACCTGACTGCATTGTGGCAAGTGTAAAGTTTGGTGGAGGGGGGAGGGTTATGGTGTGTGGTTGCTTTTCAGGGGTTGGGCTTAGCCCTTTAGTTCCCGTGAAGGGAATTCTTAAGGCGTCAGCATACCAAGACATTTTAGACAATTTCATGCTCCCAACTTTGTGGGAACAGTTTGGGGATGGCCACTTCCTATTCCAACATGATTGCGCACCAGTGCACAAAGCAAGGTCTATAAAAACATGGATGAGTGAGTTTGGGGTGGGAGAACTTGACTGATCTGCACAGAGTCCTGACCTCAACCTGATAGAACACCTTTGAGATTAATTAAAGCAGAGACTACGAGCCAGGCCTTCTCGTCCGACATCCGTGCCTGACCTCACAAATGTGCTTCTGAAAGAATGGTCAAACATTCCCATAGACACACTCCTAAACCTTGTGGACAGCCTTCCTAGAAGAGTTGAAGTTGTTATAGCTGCATAGGGTGGGCCAACTCAATATTGAACCCTACGGACTAAGACTGGGATGCTATTAAAGTTCATGTGTGTGTAAAGGCAGGCGTCCCAATACTTTTGGCAATATAGTATATGACTATATATGTATTCATACAGTATATTTATATATATAGTGTATATGGGTTTTTTTTCACATCACTCACAGGAACTGATCATTACATTCTCTTTTTTTGGTTAAATGCAATAAATAAACATGTTCTGGTCTCTTCCATACCGTGCAGTAATATTATTCCTGTGCAAATCGAGCCTATTCTGAATGATTGCTGCAGAACTGGGCTGTGAAAACTCGGCACAATATGTTATTCTAATCAGCGCAGATAATGGTGGTTTTGCTGCTGGCACCCATCTCTCGGTGTCCTATCATATTTGCAGTCTGCTGTAAAATGCTATGCAGATCTGGTATAATTATTCGTCTTCCCGGACTGTTTAGGCGCTGAAATAATTAACATTGACATCGCTGAAGGAGCGCACAGGGTTAAAGGTTCTGTAGCTTGTCACATCTTTCAAAATAGCTGCTTGTGGCCCGGGCTGGGGGGTTTGAAGCGTAACATTCCCATAAGGAGAAAATAGATTTTAAAGGGGGATAGAGTGTGACACCTTAAATGGCAACAGAAATTGCTGAGCTGGTCAGAAAAGTATAAAAAGTGAGAAAATATTAAGACAATGTGGCTTTTTTTTAAAGTTCAGCAAATTGTTAAGTGATTCATGTGCACTTGGATGACTTTGAAGAGCACCTGGTACAGGCAAGCAGCTGAAGTGACCATTTTGTTGTATGTTAAACCAACAGGTGTAAAAAAAAAAAGCAATTTATTGATTTATTGGAAACTGGTAACATCACTCCAGGTGAAAAGCCAAATAAACAAAGAGAACTGGTGTACCTGAAAGAGAGTTTGCACTTCTTTCCATCCAGTCCTGAGATTTATACAACTCTACCATATAATACTGGCCTGATTTTAATTTACAGTTCCTGTCCCTCCCCAGGCCTGTGATTGGACAGTGAAAGAATAACATCAGACTGATGAGGTCATCTCTCTGCTCTAACCTTCTGTCAGCATGTTCCTTCTCAGCACATGTGAATGCAGGGCAACTGATTGGCCACTAGGCCACCCCTTCTAGTGAGAGCACTACTGTAAAAGAGATTACGATGCAGAATGAATTTTAAATGCAGGCATCTTGTCTAGTTGGATTTAAAATACACTATATTGCCAAAAGTATTGGGCCAGCCCTCCAAATAATTGGATTCAGGTGTTCCAATCACCTCCATGGTCACAGGTGTATAAAATCAAGCACCTAGGCATGCAGACTGCTTCAACAAACATTTGAGAGAGAATTGGTGGCTCTCAGGAGCTCAGTGAATTCAAGTGTAGTATCGTGATAGGTTGCCAACTGCGCAATTAGTCCATCCGTGACATTCCCTTGCTACTAAATATTCCACCATCAACTGTTAGTGGTATTATAACAAAGTGGAAGCAACTGGGAACAACAACACATCCACGAGGTGGTAGCCACGGCCACGTAAAATGACACAACTGGGTCAGTGCATGCTGAAGCTCAGAGTGTGCAGAAGTCGCCAACTGTCTGCAGAGTGAATAGCTAAAGACCTCCAAACTTCATGTGGCCTTCAGATTATTATAACCGCAGTGTGTAGAGAGCTTCATGGAATGGGTTTTCATGGCCAAAGAGCTGCATCCAAGCCTTACATCACCAAGTGCAATGCAAAGCCTCGCACTCCACCACTGGACTCTGGAGCAGTGGAGACGTGTTCTCTGGAGTGATAAATCTCTCTTCTCTGTCTGGCAATCTGATGGACATGTCTTGGTTTTGTGGTTGCAAGGAGAACAGTACTTGCCTGACTGCATTGTGCCAAGTTTGGTGGAGGAGGATTATGGTGTGGGGTTATTTTTCAGGGGTTTGGGCTTGGCCCCTTAGTTCCAGTGAAGGGAACTCTTAAGGTGTCAGCATACCAAGACAATTTCATGCTCCCAACTTTGTGGGAGCAGTTTGGGGATGGCCTTCCCCCTTCCTGTTCCAACATGACTACGTACCAATGCAGAACGCTAGGTCCATAAAGACCTGGTTCAGTGAGTTTGGGATGGAGGAGCTTGACTGGCCTGCACAGTCCTGACCTCAACCCAATAGAACACCTTTGGGATGAATTAGAGCGGGGACTGAGAGCCAGGCCTTCTCGTCTGACATCAGTGCCTAACCTCACAAATGTGCTTGTGGAAGAATGCTCAAACATTCCCATAAACACACTCCTAAACCTTGTGGACAGCCTACCCAGAAGAGTTGAAGCTGTTATAGCTGCAAAGGGTCGGCCAACTCAACGTTTAACCCTACGGCTCAAGACTGGTATTTCATTAAAGTTCATGCGCGTGTAGAGGCAGACGTCCCAATACTTTTGGCAATATAGTGTATGCTATACAATCACTGCCCTCTTTATTAGCTACACCTGTTCAATTGCTTGGTAACACATATTGCTAATCAGCCAATCACATCTAGATGTGATGAAAATGACTTTCTGAAGTTCAAACCAAGCATCAGATTGGGGAAGAAAAGGGGATTTAAATGACTTTGAATGTGGCATGGTTGTTGGGGTGTAGGCCATGTACCGGGGTGGGCTCCCCAGGATACAGTGAAGTCACGAACGAGGAAAGGAACCCCAACACCAGCTTTTGCCACAGAATTTTACATAGATGTGGCAAATAAACACAACCACAAATGCTGGGAACATACAATAAATTTACATACACCCAGCCCAAAGGCTGAGACCCTTGTGCTGCACGGCGCCTTCTGACAATGAAGGTAGAAAGTGAAGTAATTTACCTACTGGCGGGCACAACTAAACTGCCACACCTTACCTGTTATTACCCTAAAAGAGCAGGAATCCGTGTATGGGTGTACGGTATGGGCTAGTCTGCGGTGCAGCACAACAGCTTACAATCTTACACAAATCTACACTATTCCCTCTCCCATAACTGGTCCTGTAGCATGTGCCTGAGTATTCCTTCTGAGCAAAACACCAGTCTGGCTTGAGTTTGTAGGATTTTATCAGCTCTCCAATGTGAAATGTCACTTTAGGTTGTGGAGTCCTTCCAATGATCAGTAACAACACTTGTGGCCTGATACAAACAGAGACCCTAACTAACTATAGGCCTGGACTCAGTCTCAAGGCGCCAACACTGAAATGAGGCGCGTGCACGATCTTACCAACCCGGGTCTGCTTTATATCCGCTGGTGACTCTGAACAGAACAAATGTCTCTCCAACAAGCATGCGGTCTCGCCGTATATGTTGCTTAGTTCCTCTGCTCTCATCAGCATTCCTGCCAGAAATCTCATCGGCTTCCTGGCAGCAATCTCATCAGCTTCACTTAGCTGCAGCTCTGGTTACGAAGGGATGCTCTCACACCTGGATGTCATCAGATTCTCAGCTCACACGGCCCCCCTCATTCACCATTCTCCAGAACATGGCTGCTCTCTCTTCTTCCTGTTCTCTCTCAACTCTGTGTGAAAACTCCACCTCTTCATGAACATAGAAATATATATGCAGTCTGAGGCTGTGTTGGAAAAACAGTGACATCTTGTGGCTAAACTGCAGAATGTCAGTCAAAACATTTAATTTACTCCACACAAGCAGTATTCAATGAGAGCTGTTTCCCCATCTCACAGGGGCCAGACGGGCTGGCCTGAGTATTTAAAAAACTACTGATCTACTGGGATTTACATGCACAATCATCTCTGGGGTTTACAGAGAATGGTCAGAAAAAGAGAAGATATTCAGTGAGCAGCAGTTGTGTGGACAAAAATGCCTTGTTGATGTTAGAGGTCAGAGGAGAATGGGCTGGTTCAAGATGATAGAAAGGCAACAGTAACTCATGTCAATATGGAGCAAAACCTCTGAGGAATGTTTCCAATACCTTGTTGAGCCTATGCCACGAAGAATTAAGGCAGTTCTGAAGGCAAAAGGGGGTCCAACCCGGTACTAGGTGTACCTATTAAAGTGGCCGGTGAGTGTATAGTGTTTGAAAAATGTGGAGCTATTAAAGCACTGAAGCGGAACTAAACTTACTCAAGCAACATTACGGGCTCATTCACACTATAAGGCATGCACTGCGTTGCTGGGCATTGCATTTTTTCTAATGTGTTCTAATGCATTTTCTGCATTTTTTTGCATTTTGCATTTTTTTTTCCTTGCAATGATGTGCATTTATGTTCATTTGTATGCAGCTCACAGTACACTGATGTGAACTTGTAGGCAGGTGCTGTATGTTTCCTCCATTGTAGGTGGTGCTCGATTGGAGCAGTACTGCATCTGGAGAGGAAGTCAGGACAAACCTGATTTCCTGGTCCGCTGAGGCAGCATTTTGGTTGGCTATGTTGCATCCT